TTAGACTACCTACTAGTCTATACCCATTATGTACAGCATACCATACCATGACTTAGTCATACCAAACATTAGAAAACACCAACATTGGTCCACAGGGGGAGCCACAGCGATCGGTCGCATTTTAGCCATTTTGAAGCATTTTTCTGTTGTTATAGCGCCACCCAGTTGCCAATTAGAGTTAAATTTCTCCAGTCACCTTGAGGCGTCCTGTTCTACATATCTACCAAGTTTAGTAAAAATCCATATGGCGGTTAGGCCTAGATAAGAAATGAGCTCTCTAGCGCCCCCATTTTGTTTGATGGGGTCAATAATGGAGGGGTCCCCTCAGATTATGTGTGGTCATATGCCTACAAAGTTGCGTGGTGATGGCTGAAACCCTTGAGATGTTATACACCTTTATGTGATGAGCCACGCCCTCCGCAATATTCATTGCCTTATAGAAGCTCAGTTTTAGTAAGTTTTCCAACTTTTGCCAAGAGGGAACTTTAGATATTGGTCCCTAGATTATGTTCACCCAGTTTCATGCAGATCGCTCAAACTTCCTAGGAAGAGATCCATTTGAAGTGTTTTTCAAAAAATTCAAAATGGCGGAAAATCTATATAAGCGGAAGTTATGGGTTCTTGAGGCAAATGTGTTCCTCATGAGGAGAGGCATCTCTGTGCAAAGTTTCATGTCTCTACTACATACGGGGCATGAGATATGCCCATTCAAAGTTTGACATTTCAATGGGTTGCTATAGCGCCCCCCTTTGGCCAATTGCTGTAATATTGCTTCATTGGCATCCTCCCATGACCCTCTACCACTGTGCCAAATTTCACATGGATTGACCAAGTCAGTGAGGAGAAAAACGTGGAACAGACACACACACACACACACAGAGTTTTCATCATTATATAGTAAGAATTAAGCCTTTCTGTAAGGTACATTTTCCCATAAAACAATCCCCTAAATAGTTCTCAATAAGATCCAGCGACTCGTATTCATCCTCTGTGGGGACATGACACTGAGGCCTTTATAGTAAACCATGCATGCAGTCTGTGTGACTCCTGATCGACTGTGCAAAGGACACCCTGGGCTTTCTAGAAATGTCACACACATGGAGCAAACATGTTTTATGGCAGAAAGGGAGATCAGTGATTAAATTTGTAATCGTTTCTGTTCCTCATATGGATGTTGTTTGAGTTTTAACTATATTGTATTAAGATTTTAAAAGTCTATGTTCATCTTAAGCATTTCAGAATACAGACTTTAAGCCATGTCCTCTGTGGGGACAGTGGGACTTGCTTTGTCTGAGGTAGGAACTGACACCCAGCACTAATCTTGAATCAGAAGTGACATGTTCAGTAAACAGGGGCTCTGACATGTTAGCTGTGTAACACAGATTCAGGGGAGGGTAAACAGAAATTATTTTTCTTGTACACACACACATAAGCACACATACTATACTGCTAAGCTGACTGGAGGGTATTCAGGTCACCTGTTGTGCAGGGTGTGGGTACGAATCCCTAATTAAGAATGGAGAGCAGCTTGGTGCATTCCCCCTCTGGGCCAGTCAGGGTGTGATGACGCCCTTCTTTAAGGTTTAGGAGAGCTGAGGAACTGTACACCCAGGACCTTCTGACCCTTCTGACTATTCGAATTTCATTTACATTAATTATGAATTTTGATTTTAAAGATATCTTTAACTGTTAATAATCAGTATTGAGCAGAAACAAAATACTTTGCAACTTCTGTCATTCAAATTTAGAGAATTCTGAGGTACTTGTTTTTGAGTATTTCCAAGGTACCCTGGGTGTGTTGGTTGTTGACGTTCTGGGACGCCGTGTCAACTTCAGCCTGTTACATGCATTGTCTGTTTTCAAAATACACTTCTGTTTTCACAGGAAATGTACAGTTTGCATACAGTCTCTTTCAAAATAAAAGCACTACGTCGGTACAACAACGCAAATTGACGTTATTTTCCTTCAACAACAAACACACAGTTTAGGAAAAAAGAGCAGGGTTTGTCTTTAGAATCTTACAGGACACAAACACCGCTCTGTCGGGAGAAAGTCAGTGTTTGTTTGACACGTCCCAGTGAGACTTTTGCTGCCCTAACTTTTGCTCGTCACACTGCCATTAAACGATGATGGCGATCGGCCGTGTATCATGCCGACATTAAGGGACAGCTTTTTTTGACAGTGTCTAATTCTGGAAGTCACTGCACATGTGCCGGATTTCGACGACTTTGTAGTGAGACCAGGGTTGTTTATTTTTTCTGCTTTAGTAGCTTGTAGACCTAAAAATACAAACAACCCATGATCAACTATACTGTATAATTTTCAGGGTCTTTAATGCATAAATGAAAAGACAGATTATCAGATCAGAGGCTTTTTGTGTTTACTGTATAATGAGGCCTATTATTCAAAATATACATGTAGCCGTTATATTTATATCTGTGGATGTCCATAAAACATTCGGGGGTGGAGCCTCGAACGTCCAGGCCGATAAACGCCATGGAGTCTGACCTCACTGAGTGAGATGATTAATACATTGTCAGAGCTGAATTCTACATTTTGGCAGAACACTGAAAATCTCCCAACAGATCGTTATACACAACACTTTCCTGCCTCTTTATTGTGTTTATTTATTTTGTATTTTCCCCTTTGTTCACACTAACTTACTCCATGCATCATTCTTATTGTTAGTTGCTTATTTTTCTTATTGTCATTATGATTTGTGATGATTCCTAAAATACCAATAAAATGTTTATTTAAAAAAGTAAAAACAAAACACAAATACAACAGATATTCAAATTCAGGTATCAGTAATTTAAAAATATATTTTAGTGAATATAAGTAAAGTTTATCAGTAAAGTATAAAGGCAAACGATTATTCAGACAAAATGGTCTCTGTGAGAAATATATTATTATCAGAATCAGAAATACTTGATTGATCCCTGAGGGGAGCTGATTTGTTACTGTTGCTCTGATGTTAAGGGAATATTATAGTATGTACATACTATAATATTCCCTTAACATAGTATGTATATAGAATTAAAGAAATAATTCGAGAAGTATGTCAATATAAAGAAATAAAATAACACAAGGTAAACTAAACTAAACTAAACTAAAATGAAATGAAATAAAATAAAACTAGATAAAATAAAATGAAATGAAATGAAATGAAATTAAAAAAAATGAAATGAAAAGAAATAAAAAAATAGATAAAATAAAATAAAATAAAATGAAAAGAAATAAAATAAAATTAGATAAAATAAAATGGAAAGAAATAAAATAAAATAAAGTTAGATAAAATGAAATGAAATGAAAAGAAATAAAATAAAATTAGATAAAATAAAATGAAATGAAATGAAATGAAAAGAAATAAAATAAAATAAAATTAGATAACATAAAATAAAATGGAAGGAAATAAAATGAAATGAAAAGAAATTAAAAAAAAATGAGATAAAATAAAATAAAATAAAATGAAATAAAATGAAAAGAAATAAAATAAAATTAGATAAAAAATAAAATAAAATAAAATGGAAAGAAATAAAATAAAATAAAGTTAGATGAAATAAAATGAAATGAAATGAAATGAAAAGAAATAAAATAAAATTAGATAAAATAAAATGAAATGAAATGAAATGAAAAGAAATAAAATAAAATAAAATTAGATAACATAAAATAAAATGGAAGGAAATAAAATAAAATAAAGTTAGATAAAAAAATGAAATGAAAAGAAATAAAATAAAATAAAATGAAATCAAGTGAAAAGAAATAAAATAAAACAAAATTATATAAAATAAAATTAAATGAAATAAAAATAAAATAGAAATAAAAATGCACATTAAGATAAGAATTAAAAAGTAGAATGCACATTATACACATGATTTATATAATTATTAGAACAAAGTAAACATAGGAAATATGTACAGTTATGTTCATGATAAAGTCCTATAATGAAAAATATTGCTCAGTTGAATAATTGCACCTAATCACTCTTAGATATTAAACTAATGATTCATCATCAGTGCTAACATTTAATGTTGCAGCTGGACGAGGCAGAGTTGATTAAACTGTTATACATTAGTGTTGGATGGTTTAATTCACTGTATGACAATGCATCATATTTAATATGCTGACGCAGGTTTTAAAATCATCTTAAGAGCAGATACAGCTGTGAGATAAACACACAGCAGTGCAGCATAACGTACAGTACTTCTGCTAAATGGAGCCTGTCAGTCGCACAGAATGGAAATACTCAAGTTAAGTTTCCAGCTTTGACATTTAGGCTCTGACTGATTTATTCAGATTGTTACTGGTATTTCTGTGGTGGACAACAGACTCTGATGCAGATGTGACACGTTGAATCAGCTCCAGACCTTTTGTGTCACAGCTGCTCAGTGCCTGAAGGAACAATGACACAAACACAGCCGACTGTGCTGGATTCAGGCTCCCCTCAAATCAGGCTCTGTCCTACACTGATCATCTGATGGGGGTGTGAACACTCTCAAATTGAAGCTGAAAGTTGGCACTTTATCCTCATACTGTGGTCTCTCATGGCTTCATACTCACACACTGCACTGCACACACACACACACACACACACACACACACAGAGTTTTCATC